TCTTTCCATCCACCCAACTCTCTCCGTCTCCTACATTTAAAAGCTATCCTTCTCCCGCCATACAGTCACTTAGAAACCCATGTGTTTGCCCTTAGACAAATGCTTTGTGGAGTGATGAAGGAGAAAAGACAATGATTTGCCAAACAGCATCTAATCCTTAACCTTTAGCATTTACTGTCCTTTGCTCCTTTTTCACTTGAGTCATTCTCTCTGCCCAGCAGGATTCCCAAAAAGGGCTTTGTTGAAGTGACTGAGCTAACAGATGTTACCTATACTAGTAATCTGGTGCGCCTGAGGCCAGGTCACATGAATGTGGTTCTGATCCTTTCCAACCCCACCAAAACCAGCCTGCTTCAGAAGTTTGCCCTGGAAGTCTACACATTCACAGGGTATGTACGGAGTTCCTCGTTGGGCTTCTGCTATGGTCTTAATGGTCTGTGTAGTGTTGTGCAGTGAATAGGCTTGGGGTGTGTATTGTTGCATTGCTTCGTCACGTGTATGCTTGCATGCTTGCTCCCAAGAACATCTTCAGCTTCATGTGGGTGCTTGCACCTGTGAAGGGCTTAAATGGGTAGTCGTTTGATAGCCAGCATTAAATGGGTTGGTGGGCTCAGTCCCCTTTGTAATGGATGGATGTCCTCCGCTCTGCCACTAGTGCAACTGGTGATCTCAGCGGAGAGGCCAAGGACTGGATGGGCCATGGAGCCTGAACTCTCCCCTCCAGGTCTATCTACTGCCACTTATGCTGTGCCTGTGTTCGGACAAATACAGGGCCTCACTTTCCAGGGCTGTAAGTCAGTCAAAAGAGTGTGCGCAAAAAATAAATTACTCCAACCCTCCTTCAGTTTCTAACTTTGATGTTTCCTGTGTGGTGTCTGGTCTGAATTGGAACACAGTCTAAATTGTCTCCCTCTCACTTCTTCTGCAGGAGCAGCTGTCTTCATTTCTCCTTCCTGAGTCTCGATAAGCATAGAGAATGGCTGGAGTATTTGTTAGAATTTGCCCAGGATGCTGCCCCCATTCCAAATCAATACGATAAACATTTCCTGGAGCGCGACTACACCGGTTATGTCCTAGCTCTAAATGGCCACAAGAAATACTTCTGCCTCTTCAAGCCTCACAGATCAGGGGATGAAGGGGGAACCATGGGGTCCTGTGAGGATTATGACCCCTTGCTACACACAGGAGACGCCCGAGGAAAATCCTCCTGCAGTCCAGGATCCAAACAAGTTAAAAACAAATTAAGCAAGTTGTCCTTATGGATGGAACGTCTCTTAGAAGGTTCCTTACAAAGGTTCTATATTCCATCCTGGCCTGCATTAGACTGAAGGGATTTAAAAGAGATTCTAACACTACAAACTTTTTAAGATGACAACCATGGACAATTCTTTCCAGGAATAAACAGTCATGACAAATGGACAGTAGGTTTTAGATGAACTCTCCTAGGCCCAGTGAGTAGAAGTATCTTCCTTCATCTTTGACCTAGGAGTGAAAGATGAAACATACTGAAGTCCTCTGTACCAAATTGTTCTTGTATTTGAATGTTGTACTATCTAAGACAAAACCCAGTCTATTTCCCTTTTATGTCCTGCTCACCGCATCGCCTCTGTCCGGTCTCTTGTTTGTTCTCAGTTGAAGAAAACCTGTGAGTTCTTCGCAACGGTGACTCAGTTTGGACTGAACACAATGAACTTGTTACATAGGTCAGGTCCCCTTCCCAATGCTTAGCCCATAGTGCATGGTGTGATACTGGGAAGACCCTACAGAATCTCCCCAGCCTCTGAAACTCTGAAAGGCCTCATACCAAGCATTCTTTATTTATCAGCTTTCCCTGCGGTGAGTGATTTAGGAGTGTGGTTACAGTAAATACTGTAAAGATGTTGAGCCATTTAAATGTACATTGTTTTTCAGATGCCTTTTTGCTTCTGTCAATTTTTAGACTGTCTTCTTAGAGCCATAACTTTACCCACGTCCTCAGATTGTAGGCATAAGCTGCTATGAGCCAGTAGACATGTAAAAGAAAACTTCAATACCTGCTAGTGAATCAACTTGGACGCCTTTCAAACAACAATGGTACATCTCTAGTACAATATCGACACTTCTTTGTATCAAGGAACTTAATTCTTTAATGACTGTATTTTTGAACTATGTTGCCCAACAAATGCTGTCATCAGATCATTTGTTACATATGGAACTAGTTTGGCGTAGATAGACGTTTACAAGATGCGTAGTTTCAGCTTCTCTCACTTTGTTTTTATCCTCAGCTCAAAGGTTTCTGAACATACTGGTTGCCTTTTTTTTTCCTTCTTGTCAACCTATGGTTCAGTGTAAAACTGGAATGGTTCTAGGCTGTGGAGTTACTGTACTTAAGTATATCAAATGGGCTCTCCTACCAGCCATTTGGCTTGCCCAGGGAGCTGGCTTTTTGTTAGTGACAAGTAGTCAACAAAGAAATGGTCTCTTGCTGCTACCTGAACGTTAAGGTAAATGGGAAAGGTTTCTTTTCAAAGCAGGGAACTGTAATCTTGTGACACTGCTACTTCCTTTTTTTCTCTCTGTTAATCCGTGTGGACACAGTCACTTTATCTGATGCTTGCTGTAAACTTAATAAACTTCTCCAAAGTGACTTGGATAGGAATCTGAGGCTTCCACGTGAATGGATCACGTTATGGTACATGATGGCCAAATTCTGCATGAGTTTTCCTCTCATTCAGATTGAGATTAACTCCTGAGTAGCATTCTGAACCTTACTGTAAAGCACTCCTACAAGCATGGGGGTTTACTTAAAAACCTCACTACCCTCCGTGCTTCAACTAAGGAAAGAGCACTTGAACAATAATCATAATGCTCTTGTATATAAGGGTACTGTCAGGTTAAAATATTGGACTCAACCGACCTTCCCTATGTTACTTAAACCAATGGAGTTTAATCTGTAAAGTCCTAACTCCAGCGTGAACCCTTTTGATTACGAAGCACAGGGTGTGAGAGGGAAGAAGAGGATTTTTCTTCTGAGGAGAGATGCAGCAATAAAATGCTGAAAACCCCCATGCATTAGACTGACCCTAAACTAACCTGAAGCAGCAGACTGACTTTTCACTCTTTATGCTGTTTCTGTTGAAGCCGGTGCTTTAGTTGCCTTGGGTAATGAAATAGCCTGGTTATTTTCTTGTGTTGGTAGCCAGTTCTGCCTTTTGGGTCTTGCATGGTTTAACACAGTGCTGTAAACCTCAGAGTTGGACACACTGCAGAAAAAAATCCAAATTTAAAAAGAAAATTTTTGATACGCTAAACACAGCAGAACAATGTCTCCAGGAGTGGGTTAGGCCTAGAAGGATAATTTACAAAAGCTGGCTGTTACTATCTCTTCTGCTCGTCAGAAACCAGTGTCAAACTTTAGGGCTTTAAACTAAGGGCCCAAGTGTGCTATGTAGAAGAAATCCCCCCTGTCTAAGGACCCAGGAAAAGGCTATAGGCATTACTTAAACCCTATATTGAGGCTCCAGTGGTATGTAGGCCTTGTGTTTGTTCTCTACAGAGGGGTGACTCTTACTCTGTGTATAAACGCCTATTGATGTGGGTCTTGTGGAGAGACCATTCGCAGTAATACACCCTCAGGAAATAGCCAACTGTGGGTGCTACAGATTCCATTCAGTTACGGATAAAAGTGAATGTAGAACAAAGTTGCAGGAGGTCAAACCAGCTCATTTGTAAAAGTACATGATTTACTATTAGTGCATTGTATTTTTAGGGAGACGTGACGCTTTCATGGGCTCAGGCACACCCCAACTGTTCTGAATTCATCTGTTCAGCAAGGGTAGCACTGCTCTGATATCCATTATTCATCTGGGGCAGAAGACCAGTCACAGGACCTCTCTGCTGCTTGGAATTGAATGTCTCTGCTTTCCCTCCACCCTTTTCCAGATGCTTTCCAAACCTAAATATAAGCTTTTTAAACGTATAACTCCCAGAAACTGAAGCGAAACATCGTTACAACACAGGGAAACGTAGCCTAGAGTTCAAATACTGTACCTGCCCTTTCCCCTTAACTGGGTGTGGTACACAGCAGCTTCGCAGCGATGGCTGACATATATGTGGTCAGTAAAAGCTTGCCAGGAACTAATATAATAATGCAGCCTGGGAGATTGGATTGAAAAGCAGGTAAATATTTTGCACTTTTGATACTCTTGGGGGGGGGGAGAGGGGAATAATTTATTTGGCAAATGTCTTTTTTTAATTTTTGTTTTTGTATTTGTGAACAGGCACTGATAATGTCATTTTGTTTTAAGATTATTACAGATTCGCAACTGAAATAAACTATTTTAATGTGAGACGATGAGGTGGCCTTGCATTTTAATTGACAAACTGACAGTGCGTTGTGGCGTACGTGAGTTAATTGCAAAAGTTCGATAGCTGTTAACTCCTTGTGATTTAGCAAATGCAATGGGCTAGTTATCTCCACTCAGGCAACAGGGCTGCTTAACCAAGGACAACTGTTTCCAAAAGCTGCCCTGTATTTTAGTCAATGTTCCTATTGCCCTCCTGAAGGCTGACAGCTATGGGCCGTGGGAAAATCATGCATAAAGAGGGTTTAGAAACATCCCATCACTGCGAGGGAGAACACAGTGCCTTGGCATAAGTCCTCTCCTAAGGTAGGGCTTGGAGCTAGTGTCAGTTTGGATCCACTGCATAAAGCAGCCAGAAGAACTTCTCTTCTATTCCATGCCCTTGGAAGGGAGCCAGGATGTTACATGATGTCTGTATATTGCTCTCCTCCTAGGTTTATGTTTAGTGGAAAAAAGTCTTTACTAGGCACTTCCAAAAGACCCCCACATTTTAGATCATAGCCGCCAGTTTTGATATTGAAAGAATTCCAGCTGCCATCACTGGACCCATATGCTGCTAAGCCATATTACTACAGCAACATGAACATTAAGCCTTCCCCCCGCAATTCCAGCATCTATTCTAGCCGCTGCTTATAGCATACAAGGAGCATGAAATGATTTTGTCTGATGAGGAATGGCTTTTATTCTCTACCACAAAGCTTAGCTTTCCCTCGCCCCTTCTCTAACTGCAGAGGTGAGGGAAGGTGGAAATTAAAAGCAAAATCTGACTGAGTTGTTCCATTCAGGCTTTTTTCTTCATTCATATTATGTCAAAGTACTTGTGTGGAAAGGCTGTGAATATTAAACTCATCTTGTAGGTGAAGAGAGAGCGGTCGTGACTTGATTTGCCTCAGCTGGAGCCCGCCCTACACGGCTTTAAATCGTTTTGACTCGTGGGAGTGCGCACAGCATTTCAAACAGCAGATTTGCTCCCATGAGGGCTGTGTTACCTACAAACAAAGAAAAAACCATGACTATCCAATGGCTTCCAATTAAAGGGTCAGTCAGAAAGTCATTACTACACGAACAAAGGGTTATTTTCCAACTCTTCCTCCGATATCTAGGCCCCAGCCTGTAATTGACTCCATGTTGGCAGAGGCTCATTCAAATCAATGACGTGCTCCTACACAAATTCACTTGCCTGACTGAGACCGGCTGCTTAAAAGCCATACACTAGTGAAAAGCTGTCTGTGCTGGTAAACTACCAATGTAGTTATGCTGAATGCTTTAGTTCTACCAAACTGCCTTCTTGTCTTCAAATGGAATCTCTACCCCAACCCCAGGAAATAAATTAGAGTAACTGATAGCCAACAGCTGAAACAATACACAAGTAACTTAATTCTTAGTCACACAAGTTTCATTTGCACAGTACACTAAGGCTGTATCTACAGCGCCTGCCCCGATTCACAGCTGGTGCTACTTCCCTAGTGAGCGCCTTGGTGGAAAGCTGTAGTCTTTCCCATTGTACAAGGGAAGAGAACACACTTGGTCCTGTCCGTATGTTCACTCGCCATTGTGACGGGTTGGATCACAGAAACCCCCTGGGAGCTGCCACCTGGTGTGCCAAGACTAATTAATAAGTAAATAGTGATTTTATTAAATACAGAAAATTGGATTTAAGTGGTTCCAAGTAGTAACAGACAGAACAAAGTGAATTACCAAGCAAAATAAAATAAAACACGCCAGTCTACGTCTAGTACAGTACTAAAAACTGAATACAGATAAAATCTCACCCTTAGATGCTTCAATAAGATTCTTTCACAGACTGGAACTGGACACCTTCCTAGTCTGGGCACAATCCTTTCCCCGGGTACAGCCCTTGTTCCAGCTCAGGTGGTAGCTAGGAGATTCCTCACGATGGCTGCCGCCCTTGTTCTCTTCCACCCACTTATGTATCTTTTGCATCAGGGAATCCTTTGTCCCTCTGGGTTCCCACCCCTCCTTCTCAGTGGAAAAACACTGATGGATTCCAGTTCAGGTGACATAGTCACATGTCCTGTGAGACCCCAAGCCGCCTTTCCTCCCAGCCTGACTCACAGGAAGGCCTGCCTGCAAACAGCCATCCACAGTCAATTGTCCTGGTCGATGGGAGCCATCAAGATTCCGAGCCACCATTCATGGCCCATTTGCATAACTACAATAGGCCCTCAGAGTTATATTTCATATTTCTAGTTTCTGATACAAGAGTGATACATTTATACAACTAGGATGACCACACTCAGTGGATTATAAGCTTTGTAATGATACCTTACAAGAGACCTTCTGCATGAAGCATATTCCAGTTACACTATCTTCACACTCTATACAGAGAGTGCATCACAACCATTGCTACACTGTGGGAGCTACACCCATCGTGACCAGCTGACTTTTGCCAGCATAAATGCAACCTAAGACTCCAGGGGCAGGGCTACACTCGAAACTTCAAAGCGCTGCCGCGGGAGCGAGTGTGGTCACGCGCCCACGCTGGGAGAGAGCTCTCCTGGTACTCCACCTCCACAAGGGGATTAGCTTTATGGCGCTGTAACTTGCTGCGCTCAGGGGGATGTTTTTTCACCTCCCTGAGCGAGAAAGTTGCAGCACTGTGAAGTGCCGGTGTGGCCAAAGCCCAGGTCTGTCCCTTTATGTGTATAACTCACACTGAAATCAATCCAAAGGCAGAGTGGCCCCGGGACAGGACCGTCCAGTGTTGTTATAGTCTCTACAGATCTCCAGGAACCAGACACAGTGTTTGGGTTTTTGGGTTTTTTTTTGGTGTTTCTTAAAGCAAGCACTTCTCTCCCTGCATGAGCCCGGCTGCGTGTATATACATATGACAAAGTCAATTCCATTCGCAGAGTGTTCTGCTAAAAAGTGTGCCTTTGGCAGGACATGAACCTAATACAGCCATCATCTTATTACAGGGTGCGCTTTGCCTACCACAGTTTCTGAACATAACAGGTTCCAATACTGGTTTTTCTAAATTAAATTAGTTTTAAATATTGTTTTTTCTTCTTTGCTGTTGAAGCATGGAGTCGCCTCTGTCACCAAGGGCAGGACCGATGTCTCTTTGCATTTACCTGGCTGCCACAGCAGTACAGAGGAAGGATTGCTTAGTGGTTAAAGCACTGGACTTTGAGTCCAGAAAACTGGCTTTTATTTACTGCCTCCACCAGCAAGTTTGGTGAGTGAGCTGTGACAGGTCCTGTCACCTCCCTGTAGCTCAGTTTCCTCCATCTGAAAAGGGAGCAACAAGGGGACCAAGTGGATCAGATCATTAGTGGTTGAGGTGCTTGCACTGAAGGGGCTACAGAACTGCAGAATGGAAGTACAGATTTACACAAACACAGCAGTTCATTCACAAGTGCTTCTTACCTTCCAGCTGTTTAGAGTACTGAGCTGAGTTTTGACTAACGCTGAGGAATCCATATCTTGGTTATACAAGAGCTGTGGCCTCTCCTGTTTACACAGCACTATTTGTCCCCGACATCCTGGTGGTCACACACTCTAGCATACCCTGAAATCGCTGTTGCTAGATTTCTAAAGACTACTCTGCATTTTCTTAAATATTCTCATGCAACATGCTGTTTGAATTGTCGGTAATACACAGAGTAGGAATAGCTGACTATAAGTAAAAAGAAAAGGAGGACTTTTGGCACCTTAGAGACTAACCAATTTATTTGAGCATAAGCTTTTTTGTAGCTCACGAAAGCTTATGCTCAAATAAATTGGTTAGTCTCTAAGGTGCCACAAGTCCTCCTTTTCTTTTTGCGAATACAGACTAACACGGCTGTTACTCTGAAACCTGACTATAAGTATTTCCAACAGCCATCACTATGTTCTCTAGGGATGCTCAAACTGTCCAGGACCAAATATCTGTCTTTTTGTTTTGAACTCTAGACAGCGTCCAGTGCCCACAGCTAAACAGGACCCAATCTATTACTGACAAACATGGTATGCAGCAGTTCTCTAAGTTTGCTTTATTGTCCCAAATATTTCCTGTGACTCACCAGAAGCATCATAGATTGGTGCAACTTCAACAAGGTCACATCCCACTATATTCAGTCCTTGGCACCCACGAATGATCTCCAAAGCCTAGGGAAGGTAAGAAAGGGCTAGTTACTAGGTACCCAAATTGTTAACTTTGAAAACACTCTATATATTTAAATAGCCGAGGGGGTGTTTTCGTTTTTAAACACAGCTGACATGAAATCTGAGAAGATACAGTCCAAGATCACTGCTGTAACCTAGTGCTCTTTGTTTGTTACATATTGATCCGGAGTGAGCGGAAAGCAGAGGATTAGATGTATAAATACTGAGACACCATCAAACTGTATATCAGCTCAATCTCCCTTAGCAGTGGCTTTTCCTATACTAGAAGGGTAACCTCCAATCTCTCTCTAGATTATAGGCAGGACACAATAGGAATTCTCAATGATTTCAGTTCCCGCTCTGCCAAGTTTCTTGTTTAAAGACTTCTAAATCCCATTTAGTTCCTTGACCCTTAGATTCATCCCCAAGACTCCTGTCCCCGACCAGACGAGGGTCTTCACGATCGGGTTCCCCATCGGGGGATCGGAGACGGACGGGATTGGAGCTGAGTTCGAGAGAGCAAGAGGACTGTGAGAGACAGCGAGAGTCCAAGAAAGAGCTGCAGAAGCAGCAGCAGCATGAACTGGCGGTGGTGGAGCGGAGAGGCCTAGGGGACCTCCCAGGGGTGAGTGGGGATAGACCCCGGGGTGCCAGTTCCGCAGGGAACCTCGAGTCTAAATTGCTGCCCCTGGTTAAGGGGCGAGGGGGAGATGTGGATGCCCACCTCACTGCCTTTGAGCAGGCTGGAGATTTGAACCAGGGGGACCCTGTGGAAAAGCCCCGGTGTCTAGCTCCCTTGCTGGGTCCCAAGGCCATAGACTCCGTCAGCCAGATGGGTGGGGAGGTGGACAGGCTCCCACTCCTGAGCCCAACCTATCTGTCTGTGTGGAGTCTCCTGGGGCCAGGCCCCTCGGACCTCCAGTGGGAGCAGAAGGTGTGGTCAATGGGGAGACATTCCTGGGGTGGCGAGATCCTGGGACAGAGAGAACTGGTGTCAGGCCCTGGGTGGTGCAGCCTCAGATGCTGAGGGGCTGTGTGAGCTGGGTGAGGGTCTCAGGGATGAAGCCCCTCGCCCTGCCTATGGCCCAGATCCCTGTGCAGACACAGGAGGGGTGGGGCTCCAGGATACCAGCTGCGAGACCCTGTTGTGGGGTGACTGTGCCTCCTTGGGACAGGATCCAGGCCCTGCTCCTGTAACTGCCCAGGGTGTGAATTTGAATCAGGGAACCAATCGGTGGAGAGGGAAATGGTCAGTGAAAATGCAGATGACCTGGCTGGCAGGGGGGAGGACCTGCTAGGTTCAGGCTACTGCCTGCCTGTAACCAGACCCCTGGGGCTCCCCGCCCCCCTTGCACACCGGAGAGGGGGCTCACGCTGGCTCTGATGCAGTGAGGAAAGCAGCGAGCTCGCTGCCTGCCCCACTGGGACAGCAAGGGCAGCGCTGAGCACAGTGGGAGCTGAGACCCCACCTGAGTGCGGGGAAACGCAGGCAGGGCAGGGGATCTGTTGGGAGTGGCAAGGTGCTTGGTAAGGAAAGTTTGGATGAGCCTAGGCAGCCTTGTGAGCTGATGGCTGTGTCTAGGCAGCAGGGTGGGAAGGCGAGGAGAGCGGAAGATGAGTGTCCCTGGACCTTACCTGTTAGCTGGGTGGAGAAGTGTGACAGTGAAGGAAATGTGCCTGTGTCTGTCAGGGGTATTGACTTGCCTATGGAGGGAGCTACCCTGATCTCCAGGCAGTTGTCTGTGAACTGCCCTGTGTGCTGGGACAAGGGGAATGAGATCCCAAGCTGTGTGTCTGGGAAAGGAGAAAGTGTGTCCAGCTTAGGGGGGAGGGATAGCTCAGTGGTTTGAGCATTGGCCTGCTAAACTCAGGGTTGTGAGTTCAATCCTCGAGGGGGCCATTTAGGGATTTGGGGCAAAAATTGGGGCTTGGTCCTGCTTTGAGCAGGGGGTTGGACTAGAGGACCTCCTGAGGTCCCTTCCAATCCTGATATTCTATGATTTCTAGGAGCGGACAGTGTAAGCCCTTGGACTTCCTTTAAAGGGAGCCAGGTTTTCCCTGCATCCACTCTGCACATTCAGAAATAAAGTCTGAGCATCTCCTTACCTGAGCAGGTGTGAGACCAGCAATTTCAGGTGTCCCTGTGCCAGGGGCATATGCAGGGTCCAATCCATCAATATCAAAGCTGATGTAAATGGGCTTGGCTCCCATCTGCTTTCTCACCTCCCCCATCAGTGGTACCAATGACTTCAGCCAGCAGTCTTCAGCCAGGACGACACGGAAACCCTGGTGGAGGAAGGAGAAGAAAGGTTGGCTTCACCTGCTTGAAACACGCTGCTGGGGAAAGGAAACGGGTGGAGAGAGCAGTGGTCCAGTGTAATGTTTATGCAAACAGCTCTAACTGGCCAAAGCAAGTGTCTTCTGCAGATCACAATGGTGCTTCCAGCCAGTCTGTGGTCTCGCATTTGCTCCCTCTTCCACTATGCCCCCACGTAGGACAGACTATGGTCTCCACCTGCCCTGGCAAGTAGCGCTTTTCCCACAGGTAAGCTGTTCAGGGCATATGCTGCTGGAAACAGCACAGACAGGAGAGCAATGAGGGAGCGGGGGTGCCATTCCCTTGCCATCTGGTGCAAAAGGAGGAGAGAGGGACAATAAATGAAAAGAATGGCAGCGGGTGGCTTTTGTCCTGCTCTAAGTGTCTTAGTTGCAGGGACTGGAATGGGAGAAGTGTTCCATGCCACGGCATCAGTTAATGAACAATATCATCTTGCACCTTTTGTCTGAGGATCTCACATCACACACACTCAGCAAGCCTCTCAGCAGCCGTCTCAGGACATATTGTTATTCCCAGCACTGAAATCAATGGCCATTTTGGCCCTGACTGCACAGGCTGGGCCCGGCGGAGAGTAGAGAAGGTTTTGGCAGCAGTATACGCTACCTGGTCCCAGCAGTATTTGTAGGGATCCGGGGTGTAGGAGGAGCCTCTGATTCCGATCTGAACCACGCGTTTGCAGTCCAGGAGCCCCTCGTCCACGCAGCGTCGGAATGGCGTCCCATGGTAGATCTTCTCCCCCAGCGCTGTGTCTCCTGTGTCGGTGTGAGCATCCACGTGCACCAGTCCCACGGGACCATGCCTAATTGGGACAGGGCAGGCACAAACATGGCCTTAGCTCCAGCCCCATGCTCACATGCATTTGTGTGGATGCTTTGGTTAACACAGGTGCTTACAGTATGTGACAGATCGAAACCAGTGGGGTACAGAAGTCCGGTCGAAGGCAAATATACTGGCCACAGGATGACTAGTTTTCGGTTCCCTGAGTAACCAGAGCAGGGGCTGCCCTAGAGCAATCAGGAACCTGCTAGAACCAATTAAGACACCTGGAGCCAATTAAGAACTTACTAGAATCAATTATGGCAGGCAGATTAATCAGGACACCTGGTTTTTAACAAGGACCTCCCATCAGTTGGGGGGGGGCATAAAAGGAGCGAGAAGGCATGCTGCTGGAGGACTGAGGAGTACAAGCATGATCAGGCTTCAGGAGGAAGATCCTGCGGTGAGGATAAAGAAGGTGCTGGGGGGAGGCCGTGGGGAAGTAGCACAGGGAGTTGTAGCTGTCACACAGCGGATACAGGAGACTTAGACAGCTGCTATCCACAGGGCCCTGGGCTGGAACCCGGAGTAGAGGGTGGGCCCGGGTTCCCCCCAACTCCCGATCGGACACAGGAGGAGTTGACCTGGGCTGTGAGCAACACCAGAAGGGAAGGTCTAATTTGGAAAGGGATCTGGCCTGTCCCTGACCCCCTAGGTGGGACAACAGAGATGGTGGAGAAGTTTCCCCCACGCTGGCTGGCGATGAGGTTAGCGCCTCTAGCAGAAGTGGCCAAACTGAGGGCTGCCGTGAACCTCTGAGGGGAGCAAATCTGCCAAAAAGGCCCCACCAAGGCAGAGGAGGAACTTTGTCACAAGTGTTAGGATATAGATATTCAGGCCTGTCTGCAAAGGCCTGTACTTTAAGAATTTAGGTGTATTCTTATCACTTGGCTAGTTCTAGAGGTATAAAAGAAAGAATCAAAATCACTGTCTGCTGGTGTAAGGGCCTTCTCTTACTGCGACAGTCTGAGGCCCTGTTCTTAGGCTAAGGCCTTCGGCTAAGCAGCAGAAGCAGCCATAAGCTAGGAAGCGAACAGTCACATCCTCACATTCCAAACTAGTCACATTGAAATAAGGTGCTATTGGGCTGTCAGGCACTATCAGGACAGGGTTGTATTCCTATCACCTCCAGAGAAAGGGAAGTGCCTAGAAAATGTAAAAGGAAACTTAGTTTGATAGCATCCTGTCTGGCAAGAACTCACTTATCAATAGCTGGGATGTGAAATCCTCACTTCTGTATTGTTTTGTCATTATAGTTCCCACTTTGCTATTGTTTATTGGCATGGTCTCTGTCTGGTTCTGTGATTGTTTCTGTCTGCTGTATAATTAATTTTGCTGGGTGTAAACTAATTAAGGTGGTGGGATATAATTGGTTAGCTAATCATGTTACAATATGTTAGGATTGGTTAGTTAAATTTCAGTAGAATGATTGGTTAAGGTATAGCTAAGAATATTACTGTATAAATTAGGGGCAAACAGGAAGTAAGTTGTGATTCGAAAATAAGGAAAAAGGAACTTGTATTTAAGCTTGCTGGAAGTTCACCCCAATAAACATTGAATTGTTTGCACCTTCGGACTTCGGGTATTGTTGCTCTCTGTTCATGCGAGAAGGACCAGGGAAGTGGGAGAGTGAAGGAATAAGCTCTCTAACAACAAGTAGTTCTGACCTTGTTCAATCCTTCAGCATAAAATCTTGGATTCTTCACAATGATAGAGATCTAGATGCCAAACAGATCATACAATTGATTTGTCAAGGTCTTCTTCCCACCCTAGATTCCTATGGCTTCAGACCTCTGAGAAGGCATCTTTCTATTCAGCAGGAAGGCAATAAGCACATGAGCGCACCAATTAACTCTAGGGCAAAGATAGCCAGAGACTGAGTGCAGACACAAGATGCCAGCTGGGATCAGCACAAACAAGCTCTGAGTAAGTGAGAGGAGCAAACAGGAAGATTGCCAGCATCTAGCTATTGATTGACAGATACTGCTGCAGCCCGACTTTATCCCTCACATGACTCTCCAACCCTGTCTGATTACACGAACCCTGGAACCCCAAATGTCTGAGGAGCCATTGGAAAGATAAGAAGAACAGTAGGAAGCTAAGACGGCTCCATCAGAAGCTCTTTAATGACCAGAAGCTCTTTAATGACCTGAAAATTAAAAAGGAAGCCTACAAAAATGTGGAAACATGGACAAATTGCTGATGATGAGTATAAAAGAATAGCACAAGCATGTAGGGACAAAATCAGAAAAATGGGCACAAAATGAGTTACACCTACCAAGCGACATAAAAGGCAATAAGAAGAGGTTCTATGAATACATGAGTAGGATTAGAGACACAAAGGAAAGTGTAGGTCCTCCATTTAGCAGAGAGGGAGAGCTAATAACTGACGACATTAAGAAGGCTGAGCTGTGTAATGCCTGAATACTACAGTCTTCACTAAAAAGATAAATTGTGACCCAATACTTAACACAATTAATGTTAAGAACAAGAAGGAAGGAATGCAAGCCAAAATAGAGAAAGAACAAGTTAAAGAATATTTCTTTAAATTAGATGTATTCAAGTCAGCAGAGCCTGATGAAATTCATTTCAGGGTACTTAAGGAACTAGCTGGGGAAATCTCAGAACTGTTCATGATTATGTTTGAGAACCCAGGGAGGGCAAGTAAGGTCCCAGAGGACTGGAGAAAAGCAAACATTGTAATGATCTTTAAAAAGGGGAACAAAGAGGACCCGGGGAATTATAGACCAGTCAGCCTAACTTCAATAGATGAAAGAATCTGGAATATATTATTAAGTAATCAATTTGTAAGCACCTACAGGATACTAGGGTTATAAAGAATAGCCACAAGGGATTCATCAAGAAGAAATCATGCCAACCCCACCAAATTTCTTTTTCAACAGGGTTACTGGTCTAGTTGACGGGGGGGAAGCTGTAGACATGATGTGTCTAGATTTCAGTATGGCTTTGGACACAGTCCCACATAACAGTCTCATAAGCAAACTAGCAAAATGTAGTCTAGATGAAATTACTTTAAGGTGGGTGCAAAACTGGTTGAAGACCGTACTCAAAGAGTATTTATCAAAGGTATGCTGTCAAATTGGGAGGCCACATCTGGTGGGGTCCCGTAGGGGTCTAGCCTGAGTTCAGTGCTATTCAACATTTTCATCAATGACTTGGCTAACGGAATGGAGAGGATGTTCTAAACACTGCAGATGACACCAAGCCGTGAGGGGGTCGCTAGCACTTTGGAGGACGGTATGAGAATTCAAAACAATTTTGACAAATCAGAGAATTGGTATGAAATCAACAAGATGAAATTAAATAAGGACAAGCGCAATGCAGTACACGAGGAAGGAAAAATCAAACGCACAACTACAAAATGGAGAATAACTGGGAGGTGGTCAGACTGCTGAAAAGGGTGTGGGGGTTATAGTAGATCATAAGTTGATTATAAGCCAACAATGTGATGCTGTGGCGAAAAAGGCTAACAACATTCTGGGGTGTATAAACGGGAGTGTTGTAGGTAAGACAAGGGAGGTAAATTGCCCCACTACACACAGCAATAATGAGGCCTCTGCTGGGGTATTGTGTCCAGGTCTGGGCACCACACTTTAAGAAAGATATGGATGAATTGGAGAGAGTCCAGAGGAGAGCAACCAAAATGATAAAAGGGTTAGGAAGTCTGACCTATGAGGAAAAGTGACCAAAAATTGGGCATGTTTAGTCTTGAGAAAAGACTTTAAACTTACTTTTCTGCCACTGCCTGCAGGATCGGGTATGTTATTGTGTGATCACCACCTGCAACGGGACAGGGAACAGAGAACATGCTATGTAATAAGAACAGGCCAGCACTGACCAGATATATTTTCCAGTCATAGCAAGCTACATTCATATTGCACCACTCCTCTCATAGGGGAACACATCCGCACTTCACAAAGAGAGAGCTCATCCTTTCGAAGCAACAGCCTTTATTCATCTAACTACCTTCCCTGCAGCTTTAATTGGTGGCAGATAGTATAAAAAGGGGCAGCTTCTCTTTTCAAAAGCTCTCAAAAATCCAGCTGGCTGTCACTCTCTTGCTGCAGCTGGGACTCAAGGCCAGCTTCTGAATGCAGATCCCGGATATACAGCCCTCTCTCGCCGCAGCAGGCTGGGGGAGAGGTGCCTCTCCCCCAGCCCCAGAGCTGAACCAGCAGCAGCAAAGGTCTGGGAGCAGCTGCAGGAGACTGAATTATCTCAGCAGGGAGGAGAGAGGAGCTCTGTTGCACTCTCAAGACCCTGTTAATAAATTAGTCTGTATCCATTGCAGTGTATGGGGCAGAAGGGGGAGGTGGCTTTAATGGATCCTGCTATTCTTCCAGGTGCCCACTTTCTGGTGTTTTAACAGCAAAGCATGAGATTGGGCCCAGCCCTGGGTTCCTTACCCATCGTGAGGGGAATGCAGCCAGCTGCCACAATCTTCTGATAGGCTTCTCGGATTTGCCTGCAGCTGTCCTGCAGGTTGTAGAGGTTCACATTCACATCACCAATGTCAGCAACCATGAGGGAATGGAAAGGTGCTGCCCCAGTGCTGGGGTTATACATTCTCACCATGCCCGACTCCGCTCGAATATGGCGAGGGCCGAACCTGGAAGGGAAAGAATCCCACACTTCGTTATCTGGGATGGTTCGAGGACGAAACTTGTATAGAAACCGGGGATTCTGAACACATGGCTGGTTGGGCACACACTCCTCCTAGACACTTAGGAGTTGAAGGCTGGAAAGACCATTGCGGCAAATGTTTCAAGTGGGACTATATTGTGGTTGTGATAGTCTACGTCAGATGCATAATGAGTATGGCCGAATGGTTTCAACAGACAGGTCATCTGTAGATCCAGGCAGAGAGCTTACTGCAAATCGAGAGTGCATGCAAAGATTTTCACATGTGACTCTGATTCTGGGTGGCCAACCTGAGAAGATTTTCAGGGGCCTGCTTTTCAGATATGCTGAACACCCACCTTTTCAACCTCCGCTCCCTTTAAAGTGTCTAAATTGTCAGGTGCTTTTGAAACTCTTTGCCAGTCACACCAGATTTACAAGAAAGTCTCTGACTGGAGCCACACATGATCCATCTGCTGAAGTGCTTAGGCTATGCTCACAACCGGAAAGCCTGAAATGGGCGTCTCCCTGCAGCATCCAGTCACGCTCAATGGACACTCACAGACACTATTAGGTTTGCTGTCTCCACAGAGACAATGTACTCATTAACCTGTTAGATTAGCTGAAGACTCCCATTTACTTCAACATAACAGCACTGAGATTAGGGTGACCAGATGTCGCCATATTAGGGGCTTTGTCTTAGATGCGCAACTATTCCCCCCCCCCCCCAAAAAAAAAAAAAAGTATCCCGATTTTTCGCACCTGCTATCTGGTCACCCTAACGGAGATGGTTTATAGTAAAACTAAGAATAAGTTTATTAATAAAGAACCTAGATGTAAATGATACTAAGCCAGAGGAAAACAGACTGGTATGGTTACAAACCAAACATGCTTTCTAGTGACTAAGGATTATTTTTAGCAAGTTATAAACTTCGCCTAAGCAGGTTACTCACTCAATCAAATTCCCCGCAACTCCAGCCGTTTAGGTAAGAGGAATGCACAGTCTCAGTGTTCCCATAAGTGATGGATAACTAGAATGTCTTTTTGCTGTACTTTATCTTTGCCAAAGTCCATTGTCTTTGGATCAGGAGCCGGGAAGACTTCCTAGGAGTGCAGACTCTGTCCCCAATATGCTGCTGTTTGTTAGCTTGATTGCTGTGTTTACCTCATATATAAATGTACTTTCATTGTCCTTTGGCTTATAGAAGTTGATCTAAACCAGGGGTGGCAAACTATGGGCCGCAGGCCAGATCTGGCCCGTCAGGGCTTCGAATCCGTCCCGTGGGCTTGCCAGCCCTGCGCCTCTCCAATAAGTGGCCAGCACCACGTTCCTGCAGCCCCTGGGAGGAGTGGGGGCAGAGGGCTCCGCGCGCTGCCCTCACCTGCAGACACCGCCCCCCACAGCTCCCATCGGCAAGGAACAGAGAACCGTGGCCAACGGGAGCTTCAGGGGAGGTACCCACAGACGAGGGCAGCACGCGAAGCCCTTTGCCCCCATTCCCCGGGGCCGAGGGACGTGGTGCCGGCTGCTTCCGGGAGCGGCATCTCGCTAGGGCAGGTAGGGAGCCTGCCATAGCCCTGCTGCCACCCGGAGCAGCTCAAGGTAAGTGGTGCCAGGCTGGAGCCCGCACCCCTCCTGCACCCCAACCCCCCCTTCCTCAATCCCCCCTGCCGCACCCCTCCTGCACCCCAACCCCCTGCCCTGAGCCTCCTGCCACACCCCACACCCCTTCTGCACGCCAGCCCCCTGAGCCCCCTGCCGCACCTCAACCCCCTGCCCTGAGCCCCTCCTGCACACCGCACCCCCTCCCACACCCCGCACTCCCTCCCACACCCCAACCCCCTGCCCCAGCCCTACATTCATGGCCCTACATGCAATTTCCCGGTCCAGATGTGGCCCTCGGCCCAAAAAGTTTGCCCACCTCTGACCTAGACAGGTAAATCCCCATTCCTTTGTCTCAGGCAAGTTGGTTTATCAACTCTCTCCACAATATATTATAGGAACATATTTTCAGCACCCATACATAACTCTATGCACCACCCATACATACATCACGCTGATATTCACGACCAGCATGTCACCAGTTTTCATAAAAGACTTGACTCAATGTGCTTTTATAGTACAATAATATTATATTCAGTCGGTTGATTCAACTGCAAATTCTTTGGGGTTCAGACCCTTGTTCTGGGGTGTCTGGACCCTGACTGTCACATTACAGAACCACTCTGACAACTGGCACCTTCATTAGCAGCCCGAACAGGACTGAATGGGTACCAAGAGCAAACCACCCTCTCCCGCTTTTTCTTGGTCCCTGCAGGACGTGCCCGAGGCAGACTGGCAGGGCAGTACGGGAAACCTTGCATTCTGCCATATCTGTTCCCTGGAATAACAAGAGGCCTGCATGCTACCAGGCAGGCGGTCCCAATCTTTCATCAGCACTGACTCCCCTGGGATTTTTCTTGAATAGCCCCTATCTCATAGGTTGTGGCTTCCCCCTCCTCAGCTCTTAGCCTAATAGCTGCCCCTTACCTTGCACCAGGACGGTTGGAGGTTCCCGTGTCAAGGGGCACCCCAACAAAAGCAGCATCTAGTCCCTCTGGTGAAGTCTGAACGGGCAGCTTCATCATGGAGCAGACCCCCACGGGCCTGGCTACGAATTGAGCACTGGGAGGCATATTGAAGCTAGAACCAGCGAGAAAGCGGCGAGGGGCACCATGCCCAGCGAGCAGGTGCTCCAAGCCCCCACGATGGAAGCCAGGCAGGGAGCCAGCTGCAGCGGGGTGAGCTGTGGCCCACACACACGGGCTAGCTCTGGGGCTGCTCAGCAAAGGTGGCTGGAGCTTGGCTGCCAGGAAAGTTGCCGAGAACTTCCGAAGGCAGAGTCGCTCCTTGCAGAGCGTTCTCCAGAGCAGCTGGCTGCCTCGCAGAAAGAGGGCCTCCATCTGCACCCCCTGCTTAGCCCTCCTTCCCCAGCACAGCAGACACCCAGAGCTGGCCCTTCAGGTTCAAAGCAGAGAGTGGCTGGGTAGCAGAGACAGACAGCACTCATGTCACCCCCCTCATTCCCTTCCCCCTGGCAGGTTCAAAGTGCAACACCGAGATCCACATCTCCCTCTGTTCCTCCAGGCCAATAGCAGAGATACAGCAGCTTTAAACTCCTACCCTTTCCCCATAATCCATTCCCACTCCCCCTGCCCCCCCCGTTTCCTCCCACCTTGCATTCTGGGAAATGGAGTCTTTTCCTCCTCTGGGATTGTCAGATGCCGTGTCAGGGACCCCAGAGTCTACTCAGCCAAATGGCCGGAGCAATTTGAATTTGTGCCGCATGGAGCATTATTGCCGTGATCTGACGTGGCCAGGTTCCAGCTTGCAACATGTTCATTTAAATCAAGCAGCCTGTAGTCCCTGCGGGCCGCACCTCCATATGATTAAAGGAAAAGGAAGCCACAGGCCTCACTGCAGAACTGCCTGAGCTACCTTTGCCTGTTAGTCGAAGGGATCCTTTGCAAAATTTACCACTAGAATTTCAAGTTGTCTTCACTGCCCTGCTGCAATACACACTGACGGGGAATGCAGCAGCTGTTTAAAGGGGTCAGGTGTCGTAGCAAAGGTTTAGGGAAAAGAGAAGAACTTTTTCTTCACATCTCACCCTCTGACTTTCCACTTTCTTGAGGACCATGTGATTTCAGCATGAGCCTTGCCTATTAGGTCTCCACAGACAATTCTCCAAGGGAGTTCTGCGGATTTGCCCCAGTTCCAGCTCCAGATGCCCAGCTGGCCTAGTGCAAACCCCAAGCATGTACACACAGAGTCCCAGTATGCGGCTGTAGCACTTAGAGCAAAGTCAGCTGTATCAGTACAAATGGCAGCTTTCCTTTTCTAGGGGAGATGCACTGGTAACTATACCGGCAACCAGCCACTGATGACTGGACTCAGGGTAAGTCCCCAGGGAAGCGTAGGCCTTAGTCATCATAAAAGACTTTGGGTTGGAAGTAATACAATCCTAGAGTTTTATCACATTTTCGATTAATACCCAAGTGATATGAACTCTCATAGTAGGAAGCCCAAGAAATGGCAACTCCTTGTAACAGTGCAGCTGTGAACACTGTCAGTGTATATCAGAAAATGGCAAACTCTCTGCCAAAATCCAGCTGTGACCAAAAGCTTCCAGTGGTTAAATACATTCTGATGATGCACACTCAGCATTTCTTTGCTTCACAAGCCCCAGCTTTCCCATTTTTAGCAAGCAGGAACCTGCAACCTTTTAAAAAAAACTATATTAATCTTGGCTAGAGATAGTTGGAACATTTTCAACAAACTGAAATTTCAGCAAAACTGAACATTTCATGGAGACAGATCAGTTTTGAGGAAATTTTCAGCGAGACTATTTTGTGTGCATGCAAGAATACACATGTGCTCTGTTCCCTGGTGACAAGACTGCTGGCCTGGGATGTTAGAGACCCAGGTTCAAGTCCCTACTCTGCCTCATTCAGAGTCATCTGGGATGAAAATCTCTGCTCTGAATCAAGCAGAGCAGAGATTGTACCTGGATCACCTCCCACATCTCACCCTTAGAATCATAGAATCATAGAATATCAGGGTTGGAAGGGACCCCAGAAGGTCATCTAGTCCAACCCCCTGCTCGAAGCAGGACCAATTCCCAGTTAAATCATCCCAGCCAGGGCTTTGTCAAGCCTGACCTTAAAAACCTCTAAGGAAGGAGATTCTACCACCTCCCTAGGTAACGCATTCCAGTGTTTCACCACCCTCTTAGTGAAAAAGTTTTTCCTAATATCCAATCTAAACCTCCCCCACTGCAACTTGAGACCATTACTCCTCGTTCTGTCATCTGCTACCATTGAGAACAGTCTAGAACCATCCTCTTTGGAACCCCCTTTCAGGTAGTTGAAAGCAGCTATCAAATCCCCCCTCATTCTTCTCTTCTGCAGGCTAAACAATCCCAGCTCCCTCAGCCTCTCCTCATAAGTCATGTGTTCTAGACCCCTAATCATTTTTGTTGCCCTTCGCTGGACTCTCTCCAATTTATCCACATCCTTCTTGTAGTGTGGGGCTCAAAACTGGACACAGTACTCCAGATGAGGCCTCACCAATGTCGAATAGAGGGGAACGATCACGTCCCTCGATCTGCTCGCTATGCCCCTACTTATACATCCCAAAATGCCATTGGCCTTCTTGGCAACAAGGGCACACTGCTGACTCATATCCAGCTTCTCGTCCACTGTCACCCCTAGGTCCTTTTCCGCAGAACTGCTGCCTAGCCATTCGGTCCCTAGTCTGTAGCGGTGCATTGGATTCTTCCATCCTAAGTGCAGGACCCTGCACTTATCCTTATTGAACCTCATCAGATTTCTTTTGGCCCAATCCTCCAATTTGTCTAGGTCCTTCTGTATCCTATCCCTCCCCTCCAGCGTCTCTACCACTCCTCCCAGTTTAGTATCATCCCTTATCTTCCCAAATCAAAAAGCTCGCATTTCAACCTGAAAACAGACATCAACGTAATTCAATTTTCACAAAAACCTCAAAAGGTAGTGTGAAACAGAATTGCTGTCCTCCTGCCAACTCTAATTTTGGCCACTGGACTGAACAAGATCAAACCAGATTGAATATCCGAGGCTCACCTGTGTTTCATACCAAGCAGGCTTGACTCAGATGATGCAAGGAAGCTGTGAGATGTATTGACTACAGCAGTCCAAAATGCCTTGAGTCAAGATGGATGAAAATATTAAGAGGGATGCGACGTGGAGAGGTTGGTTAGACAAGGATGTGCTTGGGTGGTAGTTGGTGGAAGTGTCTGCCCTTCCTGCCCTAATCGGTGGAGTATCAACACACCTCTTTTCGCTGTCTATATCAAAGCACCAGACATCTTTCCCTTTGTCTCTTCTAGGAATGTGTATTTAATTTCTCAATGACCTCTGCTTCCTGGTCCTCTGCTCCTTTTGGTTTTGTCTTCCCTTAGCCCATTGTGTCTCACAGCTGGTCCCTGCCCTAATAATCACCTGGCATACTTAGGTGCATCTGTAAGTAACAAATGCATTTTGAAAACTTGCTACTTCAGGATGCCAGCTGACTGCCTGCAGAGTTCAAGAGTCCCTTACACAACTAGCTATGTGCACTATGGGTTTTTCTTCACTTTCCACTGAAGCATGAGGTCACAGTGAAAAGCAGGATACTGGCTTAGATGGATCAGTGGTCTGATCTGCTTGGCAAATGCAAGGTTTCTAACTCCACTTCCTACTGTTCTGCAGACTGGAGCTTCTTAGAGACAGGAGGGGCAGTCACATGTGTAAAGCAGTCTGGTTCCAGGGTAGAACTTCTGACAATACCTCTTCACGCAAATAAATGCAGATGGCAGCCTCAGTTCTCTAGTTCAAGTAAAAATTAATGAATGCTGTGTCCCATGTCCCAATTAACCCCTTTTCATAAAAGAGAAGCTGAGAATTCACTGCTGGGGTTGAAAGCTAACAGAAAAGTGACAGCGTTTACCCCTCCCTGCAAGCTGAAATCTCAGCATCAACCAGAGATTTCAACTCAGCAGCGGTTATGCACCTACTATCAGCAGCGCCTCGCCTGAGGTTACTAGCCCTCAGATCTTCTACAGGGTGTTACAGAACACAGAGCAGTGGGGCGGGGGAGAGATCCAACCCAGGCTTATATTCAGGAAAATTAGTTACTGTTTCACTATCCTCATTTATCATGGAAACATTGATAAGATTTCTCTAGTTCCCCGCTCTTATCTTGCAGGTTGTCGGAGCTGCTAGCACCCTACCCTTGGGGAGCGCAGAATGGGATGTTTCAGGAAGCACCTCCTGCTTGGAACACAGGCCATAATCCATACTTTGAAGCAAAAAATAAATGAAAAAAAAGACGAAGGGCCTCAAAAGCCAAACTGCATAAAACCTCAGATCTATCACGGTCCTGATAACTGGCAGTGGGCGTGGCTAGAAACATCCTGTCAACATGGATAGTATGTTGCTGAAGCAGAGCCCTACCCTAAATATAGGGTAGAATCCGTAGTAAACAGCCATGGTCTACATAACTGTGCAGTGAATTTTTCCAAGATCCTTTCAGCGAGGGATAAAGCCCACCCCCACTTCCCATTTACAGATAGCACCTGTAGGTGCTGCCATCCACAAACAATTAGACTGAACTCTACCAAGTTATGGGATTGTTGCTGATGGCAATTTGTGCTCAAAACACCATTAACTTATCAGGGTTTTGAGGTAACTGTTTTTTCCAGGGCTAGAATTTACTTTGATTTTCCTGAATCTTCCCAGATCCTTTGCCTTTTGTGGGTCCTTCTGTGTGGGACCATTTCGGTATTGTTGTATGGCACCTATAAAGATTCAAATTAGGTGGCTGGTTATGTTAGTCAGCTGATACACTTTCTGGTATGTTAGCTATGAAAGCACATATCTCAGTGACTCAGAAATTGGCACCATAAAATGAATGGTGCCAATTTCTATAAGCAGATTTACTCCAGTGCAATACAAATTTGCAATTGATATTTCCATTATATTTTACAAGTGAATGGAGAAGAGGCCTGAAATCAAACATTTTTAAAAGCATTGCAAACGACTTACGAGACCCATGCTACATGGGCAGCTTGTTCCTGTGTAGTGAGTCACTGACACACAGTGTCTCACTGCCCAGTTCTAACGATCTCCTTGAAATAAGAATATAAGGGACCAAGAAAATGTTCAGAACTTCCGTGAATATGTTGAACAATCCTGGTGCTTGGTTTGTTTCCCAGATGTTCTTTGAAAAACTAGACTTAATGGTTATCCTTAGTGGTGGAGTATGAGAATAAACTGAGCCTTGAGGGCTGGACTGGAAGGAGCTGACGATGCTTTCAGGACCACATCCAAACAAATATTTAGCATGCAACAGAAGAGTAAATCTGAAAGGCCAAGACCCAATATGAATTAACCCACAGGTCACTATGGCATTAAGTCCGGCTACAGTGAACAGAGACAAAACCAGCATCCATGGATTCATTCATTGTAACAGCACAGTCACCACTTTATTGTGCAGAGGAAAATGAACTAACTTTTGCAAACACCCA